TTTTTTTTTTTTTTTTTGTTTTTTATGTCTGTTTCTTAAAAAGAAAAAACTCCATCAGAATTACAACCTGGTTAAACTACTCTAGCCTTTCTTCCATGGTATAATATAGAGTGAGAAACAGAGGTGAAATATAGTCCTAAAGAATAAAAAGAAATATATTACCTGATGTTTTCATTATATTTTACTTATGGTTACAAATAAACATCATTGACAAAAGTTATCTTAGAGAATAAATGAATAAAAAATAATTTCTTCAGAATATTTATAACAGCTAAAATATTTAAGTAAATGCTCTGTAATCCTAAATTGTTTTATGTCATATAATACAACGGAGATCCAGAGATGATGTGTTATTCATGTATGAAATTTCTATCTCCCATTTAAGGAATCACCTTGGCTTTTTGGTACATTTTTCCCACAGGAACACTTTTCCCAGAATGTAAACAAAAAATTTGTTAACACTCAAGTTTATATGCCATTTATTGTAAATATCTCCATTCTTCAATTCTCTGACTTTGTTTACCAGTGTAATTTCTCCACCTATTTACAGGTCAGTTACTGTATCTGTAGTGTTTTTCTACCCTTGTATAGTATACTGCAAAGCCAACTGGAATAAGCAAGAATCTGAGATGGGCACTGCCTTTCCCTACTGCAGAAGTTCTTCATCACTAACTATACAAGTACATCTTTCCTTAAAGCAAGATGAAGCTCCTTTCATATACAGGGTGGCCATAAAGTGCCTTTGAAATTGCACATGAACTTTGTGGCCACTCTGTATTTTAAATTTTTTTTATTTTATTGTGGTGAGAACACTTAATCTGAGACCTACTTTCTGAACAGATTTAAGTGTATGACAGCTAACTGTAAGTGCAATGTTTTTCAGCAGACCTCTTGCACTTACTCATTTTGCTTAACTGAAACTTTGTAACAGCTGATAAACAATTCCTCATTTCCCCCTTCCCTTAATCCCTGGTAACCCCCCACTTCCCTCTTTGATTCTATAAATGTGGTTCCTCTTATACTGCAACAACATTCCTGAAGGATTTCACAAGAAAATATTAATAGATATAAAATGACAATTGAAGAAAAACTTGTGTTTTATTTCAAGCTCACAGAGATCACTAAATGAAAATCTTATTTAGCAATACAGTAGGATTCAAACATTTAATACACATTTAAATGAATAGAAAAATAAAAACAAAATCAATGAGAATACAAGTTTTAATTTAATAATTAACTATACCTTATCTTCAGATGGACAAAGATATAAGTACTGGAATGTGGCAGTTATGTTTTTAGAGAATCTTGGCCCAAAAACATCTTTATCAGTTCCAAACTGATGACGAGACTGTCGCACAATTGAGTCAATTACATATAATCCTGGAACCTTGTACTCTGGTTTACACTAGAAGGATAAAGTTGTAAAGTCAGTGTAACAATGCCTGTAATCCCAGCACTCTGGGAGACCAAGGTGGGAGGATTGCTTGAGGATGGGAGTTTGACACAAGCCTGAACAAAGCAAGACCCTGTCTCTACTAAAAAAAGAAAAATTAGTCAGGCTTTGTAGCAGGTGCTTATAATCCCAGCTACTCTGGAGGCTGATGCAGGAGGTCAGTGAGGTTGCTGTCTAGCTTGGGCAATAGAGCAAGACTCTGTCTCAAAAATAAAGAAATGAATTAATGAAGTCACAACTGGACACCCATTAATTCACATTTGTAAAACTTTATACAGGGTGTCCAGAAAGTTTATGTGCAATTTAAAACAGTTGAGCTATATCCACTATATCTGTTTAAAAATTACTCGAATACTTTAGCTCTCTAATTGGCTAACTTGTCAAATTTCCCACATCTATACAAAACATTCTCTTGGTAATAAGCAAATCCCTAATATTTTATTCTTCCGATTGCTCTACCTCCCCACACACAATGTCTCAGAATTGGCATTACTTTATCAATCCCTAAGGCACTTCCATGTGAATTCATTATGATAGTCTTTTTTTTGGAGACAGAGCCTCAAGCTGTCCCCCTGGGTAGAGTGCCGTGGCATTACAGCTCACAGCAATCTCCAACTCCTGGGCCCAAGCGAGTCTCTTGCCTCTGCCTCCCAAGTAGCTGGGACCACAGGCGCACACCACAACGCCCAGCTATTTTTTGGTTGCAGCCGTCATTGTTGTTTGGCGGGTCCGAGCTGGGGATTCGAACTCGCCACCTTAGGTGTACGTGGCTGGCGCCTTAGCCGGTTGAGCTATAGGCGCCGGGCCATGATAGTCTTTACTTCAATTCACTCTGCTCAAAAAATAATTTTTACCTTTTAAAATTATAAAACTTTTAAACACATCAATTTCAATTCTATTAAGGTATAATACCAAATAAATAAACTAAATTAAATTAAAAAATAAATTTAACAAGTCATTTCCAGTCAAAATCAACAAAGATAAAAAGAATAGCACAGAAACAGGCACCTACATGAGTTTATAGTGGTAATGGAAGCAGGCACGACCCGTTATGGAAGTCAATTTTGCAATAAAGCAAGTTCGCATTAGATCAACTAATTCTATGTTTAGGAATTTATGCTAAAAGCATTGTGTATAAAAAGTAAAAAATAAGAAATATCTAACTTGGCCCGTAGCTCAGTCAGCAGGGCACCAGCCACATACACTAGGGTGGCAGGTTTGAACCTGGTCCCGGCCTGCTAAGCAACAACAACAGCTGCAACCAAAACACAGACAAGCGTCGTAGCGGGCCCCTGTGGTCCCGGCTACTTGGAAGACTAAGGCAAGAGAATCACTTAGGTTTGAGGTTGCTGTAAGCTGTGACACCATGGCACTCTACCCAGGGCGACAGCTTGAGACTCTGTCTCAAAAAAAAAAAAAGAAATATCTAACCATATGGGGCATCCTGGTAACAACGATACAAAGGAATACTTTGCAAACTGTGCATGATAAACTCAACAGGAAATGGAGGTTAACAACCAATATTATCTTTTTTAAATGTACATAAATAATACATAGAACCAAATATAAATATTGCAATAATCTGGAGGCAGTAGCATATAGGTAATTTTAGTTTTTTTCCCCTTTATTTAAATTTGTACTTTAATTAACTACTATGAAAACCTTTTACTATTTCTTTGACCTGCTGGACCTCTAACTTTTATCCTTAAGCCAGTATGCACAAAGGGTTGTTTAGAGACATTTCCATAAACATTTGTTAGTATGTACTACATGTCACAGCACCACGTCAAGAGTTAAGAGACCTTAAGTACGTTCTTAGTCTGGTACTGAGACAGATGTGTGCTAGTCAAACAGATATAAAAAAAGACAACTACAGAACTGAATAAAGTGGTTTAATTATGATTGAGCAGGGAAAAGTTTGAAACTTTAACAACTAATTTCATGTGAAATACTCAATATGCAAAGTAGACCAGACAAAGAGTAAAGGAAGTACTTCAGGCTTAGACAAGGGTCCTGTCCAATAGACAAAACACACTGATGTGAGTTGAGTTTTAAGCACTTAGTAAGTCTCAATCCATGGTACTGTTACAAATACGTTTTTAAATTTCTAATAATTAAAAAGAACCACTACTTTTTTGTAGAGTGGCTTTAGAAGCAAACATCCAAATTATAATTTACAAAGTAAATTACAAATAAGCATCATAACTAAAATGAGGTAATAATAAAAGTTACCTTTTTGATGAACTTTTCTACTATTTGAACCACATGCTTATAAAGCTGAAAAGAATAAAAGAAAATTACTGTTCAATCTACATTTCTCATTTCTTATCACTAGAAAATACTTAAAACCTTGAAATCTGTACAGTTTAAATAATTATCAAGATAATACTGACTGGACCATGAGAAATAACCTATAATCCATAATTGAAAAAGTCTTCGTAACAAACTAGAAAGGAATAAACTAAAACAGAAAACTATAAAAATCCCCCCAAACCGAAGTCCTCTGCTTAAGCCTTTAAGTCAGTAAAGCTTCATAAAGCAGGATAGTAGGCAACCTTATGAGAAGGGTAAGACCAAATGGAGTCAGAACTAAACAACATAGTTTTTAAAATGAGCCATTTATTAAAAGTGTGATCTTGGGCCAGGCACAGTGGCTCATACCTGTAATTCTAGCATTCCAAAAGGCTGAGGTGGCTGGACTGTTTGAGCTTAGGAGCTTGAGACCAGCCTGAGCTAGAGCAAGATCCTGTCTCTACGAAGAATAGAAAAACTAGCTGGGCATTGTGGCTACTCGAGAGGCTGAGGCAAGAGTATCACTCAAACTCAGGACTTTGAGGTTGCTGTGAGAGCTATGACGCTACCACACTCTACCCAGGGCAACAGAGTTAAGATTCTGTCTCAACAAATCTAAAAAATCAAATGTGATCTTGGTAAGATATTTAATTTCATAGAACTTGAGTTTTGTCTCATTTTATTAAATAAAAATGAAGCTAAATACTTAGCTGGTTTATTACAATGATTGAATAAAATAAAGAAGAAACTGCTTTGAAACAATATTTTACAATACCAAAGTATATAGTATTATCAGGAACTTTCATCAAAAACTGATTAGTGCTCTTTGATTCAGGTCTGAATTAACTGAATTCTGGTATGTTTAACAGGTACATTTTCAAAATTTCAAAAACATTTCTCAAATTGAATATATTTACTTTGTTCTTACCTTAATAGCTTTAATAGCAGCTTTAGTGATGAGAATCATCTTGGCTCTAGAGATGGGAGGTTTCATATCCATAAGTGAAAAAAGCTTTAAAAAAAAAAAAAGAAAGAAAACCATAAAAGGTAAATTTAGAGGTCAACACTCCCTGTTTTACAAAGATCTCTGCGATCTATTAATAAGAGAACAAGAAACTTTTGGGAATAGAAGTCTATAATCTGGCTAGAAAGTAAAGAAAAAAAATCATAAACCTAGAGGTGAAAACATCAAGAAATCTTCTTCAAAACTTGTAACAAAAAAAATTTGTGAAACTTTACCCAACAACTCAAAAATGATTTGAATGGAAACACACTATATTCCTAAACTGAATGTGGCGATACTATAACTCCCATCAGTACTTAACGCAATTTCAATCCAAAATTCACTGAGATTTTGAAGAACTTCAAATAATTCTAAGGTTCATTTGGAGAAACGCATGTATGAAAATTGGGCAAGACATTTCAAAGGTCATTATAAAGTTCCAATAATTTGTAATGCTAGTATAAGAATTCATAATTTTATTTAGTCACAAATAAAAACAATAGCCCATTATTAAAAGGGTTACACCAAATTTAGGAAAGCTCACAATAATAAATCCACAGCAATCAGATGCTCCATGAGACTTAACCACATTTTTATACTCCTCCCAAAGTTTTGAATCTAAACAAAATATAACCAGAGTCCACAGAGGATAAAAAGATAAAATTCTGACATTAATATGTTACTATCTAGCTTCTTAAGTTCTTTTCTTTGTTTTGTTTATTCATAGATACACACACACCTGGGACTTCTACAATTTTCAGCTTTTTCAATACTACAGATGCAACAGGAATATAGATCCCAGTAACGATAATTTTTAAAAAGGCACGGTGTCAGATATAACCAAAATAAGACATTACAAGTAGAAAACATGGATTTTTTTTCCTCCAAATAATATCAAGATACAGAAAATGGGAAAAACACTAAGATATTAACCCAGAAATTCATTTTAATAAAGGTTTTTTAAAATAAGGGCCTGATTCTTCACTGTTTCACTAACAAAAAAAAATTCTCCTTGAAAATTAAGTGCTCACTAACTGAAAAACAATTAGAAAATAGAAATCTCTGAAGTAATATATAAATCAGCTCCACACCTGTCCCTCAGCGGCTAGGGTTCCAGCCACATACACCAGAGCTGGTGGGTTTGAATCCAGTCCGGGCCTGCTAAATAACGATGACAACTATAACCAAAAAATAACTAGACATTGTGGTGGGCACCGGTAGTCTCAGCTACTTGGGAGGCTGAGAGGCAAGAGAATTGCTTAAGCCCAAGAGTCTGAGGTTGCTGTGAGCTGTGACGCCACAGCATTCTATCCAGGGCCACAGCTTGAGACTCTGTCTCAATAATAAAAGAAAAAGAATAAATAACATAAATCAGTAAGAAACTAAGGAACAATTTGTAATATTTCAACTTAAACACTAAAAAAGATAAACAGTACATGATTCATAAAATATGGCATACATTTGTAAAAGATATATTCTGGCTAGACAGGCGCACCTCTATAATCCCAACACTTTGGCAGGCTGAAGAGAGATGATCCCTTGAGTCTAGGAGTTTGTGATCCTAGGAGCTTATGATTACACCACTGCACTCTAGCCTGGGTCGACAGAGCAAGACCCTGTCTAAATAAAAGAAAGCCTGAAGTAAATTTTAACAAAGCCCAAGCGAGAGCTAATATTTATCAATGCCCCAAACAGCACTTCCTTATCACTTCACAAGTAAGCAACTGAATGAACTATAAATATAAAAACAGCCAAATAAGCACAAAAGACAGACTAGTGTAGCTTCTGAAGACTCCATAGTCTATATTTAAATTATTATAATTGATTTAAAATATTAAAGTACAGACTATCCCAATACCATATAGCAGCAAAACCACCACTCAGGCATAAGATCAGAAAGAACCTTCAGATGCTATAATCTAAGAGACAATTGTGGGCAGCGCCTGTGGTTCAGTGAGTAGGGCACTGGCCCCATCCACCAAGGGTGGCAGGTTCAAAGCCAGCCCCAGCCAAAATGCAACAACAACAACAAAAACAGCTGGGCCTTATGGTAGGCACCTGTAGTCCCAGCTACTCGAAGGTTAAGGCAAGAGAATCACCTAAGCCCAAGAGCTGCAAGTTGCTGTGAGCTCTGACACCAGAGGCCTATTACCCAGGATGACAAAATGAGACACTGCTCTAAAAAAAGAGAGAGAGAGAGAGACAATCACTAACTAAGGTAGATCTGAGATGTCTTCAAAGGGTTGACATCTGTTTTGAACATGATGTCCAGAAAATAGATCTGAACTAATAATGTGTTAATTCTAGAGCTCACATTCCCTAATAGCATACTAATACCCTTAGAGAGTGCTGCTTACTGACTAAACTTGTGCAGAGACCACTAACCATGAGGGGGAATACAGAAAGAAAAAAAAAATCAGGCAGGCACCTGTGCCTGTGTATTTTATTGATTCAGGGATAACAATGAAACATAATGAATTTAACTTAGGATGCCTACTAAATATCCAGGCAGAAATATGGATCTTGGATACAGAAGAGTTGTAAACTAGAAACTAAAAGGTTATATAGATCAAAGCTTTGAGAATGGGTGATTAAGAGCTTGTAGTTAAGAAGGGAACTAAGAATATATACCCAGGTAGGGTATACCAAAAATTCCAATACAGCAAAAAAAAGACCAGGACAAAATAGAATCCCAGAAAATTAAAGGCAGTTACACAAATGCTACAAGAGGTTAATTAGGATGCAAACCCCAAATCTTGTTCATTTGGCAATTAGGTCGATGCAAGGGACATCAGTTTTTTAAAGGGATTACAAATTCCAATGGTTTTAAGGAAGAATGAGTGGCAGGTGAGGAAGCAGAAATGCATTTTTTTGGCTCATTTTTCATTCATTCTACAAATACCGGAGAGCTTGGTATGTGGCAAGCTCTGCCCAGTGAGGAGATGGTTAGCTTTATTGATGACCACCCTTGTTTCTTAGATTTAAAGTCTCTGTTTTTTTTTTTGTTACACTCCTGAGCAGCTGGAACTACAGGTAACTATCATCATGCCTGCCTAAGTTTCTTTTCAGATGTCTTTTATGCTTTTACAAAATCTTACAGCTGTGAGTTTGTATTTGATATAATTTATGAAGAAAAACACTATAGGCAAATATTGACATTTCAAATTTGGAGGTTTAAAAAAATTACCTTTTAAGGATCATTGAACATTACTCATATTTTACTGACTTCTTTGAAGCACAAATCCATCAAATGGTCTCTACCCTTCACAACGCAAAAAAGTTTCCCTGATATCTACGTCAGTGACTTCCCTGGGTAAATAGAGACCCAGAAATTATGCTGATATGCTTTATATAAAGTGATATAAATTAATATGCTTTCCTGATAACCATGTACACTAATACTGCCCATTTGGACAGAAATACAACACTAACTGCCTTTGTGGGAAGCCAGATGTTATAAGTTCAATTTATAGACGACGGCACTGAGGCTCAACAATCTGCCCAAAGCCATTAAAGTAAATTAAGTATTGGAATTCAATCAGATCTGTAATCTACAGTATCCCAAAACTTAAATTTTTTTCAGTAAGTACCTAATAATAAATTATTTAAAATGTATCAGCACTGAACCATAGTATACAGACATTAAAGACGACAATAAGGATAATACAGCTATGTTAAATGAAAAAAATATGCAATGTAGACTCAAATTAGAAGATAATATATTAACATAGTTGTTACAAGGGGCTGGACTCAATAATTTTTTTTTTTTTTTTTTTGAGACAGAGTCTCATTATGTCACCTTTGGTAGAGGGTAGTGGCATCACAGCTCACAGCAACATCAAACTCTTGGGCTTAAGCAATTCTCTTGCTTCAGTTATCCAAGTAGCCACTGGGACTACAGGTGCCTGCCACAACACCCAGCTATTTTGTTGTTGTTGTTGTCATTCTTGTTTAGCTGGTCCAGGCTGGGTTCCAACTTGCCGGCCTCATTGCATGTGGCTGGCACCGTTACCACTGTGCTATGGGTGCAGAGCTCCACTGATTTTTTTTTTTTTAAATAAAAAAATAAGTGGCACAGAGATATAAAGTAATGTGTCCCAGCAAGTAACAAGTTAGGGACAATATAAACTACTAAAATATTTAATTGTCAATTTCTTGATACTTAAATGGCCCTACAATTTTATATTAAATGTGCTTACTTATGGAGGAAAAACTGCATCCTTTAACGATCAGAATAGTGATCCAGTTTCAATGTCACAGGACTTAAGACCAATACTATGTGTACTGTTTTTTATGTCTTTAGAACCCAATTTTATCTGTGGGCATAAGGGAGAGCTTTCAATAGGCATCATGTTGTATAGCAAAGATCTGCTTTTTACTGTACCTAGGTCTGAGTTTGATTTCTCTCATCTTTAAAACAAATGCTGTACTGTTTTCTTCATCAAACAGTTAATTAAACTAGTTACCAAATGAAGTATCTAAACACTAAAAAAATCAATGCTTAATAAGTGATAGCTTAATGAGCCTCTCTTTTCTTGGTCTCTGCTCCCTCCATCCCCAATATACTGACCTCTGACTTTTATTTTCCTTAATTAAAAAATCAATTGTACTGTTCAAAAATACTATTGTATTGGTTTTGTTTTCTATTTATGTACAGTTTTTCTCATTTAAAAACAAAATAAACTTGTTAGCTGTGAATAACTTACTACTGATTCCTTACCTTATCTGTGTCTATAGCAAAGGCATAAATTAATAATCTTAAAATGAATTGTCAGTCACCAATATTGCCTGAATAATCTCTTAGAAGTAAATAACCTTGTAGCAGTCTAAGATTTTTGTTACAGTTACTGATTTTTCGTAATAATTTGTTAAAGTAATGGTCAGAACATAGGTTTAATAATCACCTTGTCAATGAAATCTTGGCACTACCACTTGCTAGCTATGAGAATTTATTTCACCATCTGTAAAATGGGGATAATAATAATTCTTACTTATTAGGGGAAATAGAA